ATCGGTTTTTTTAATGTACTTATTTGCTCTTACTGTCCTTGCGGAGAACTCTTTGCCTAACTCAAGGTGACAGGGCATGCTCCTGTTTCGGTCTGTGTTTTTCTGGGCACTTGATGGTTTCGGGTTTTGCATGGAGATCGCCCATCCACCTTCAATGGCTATAAATCTTTTCGTGAGGTGACCCAGGAGTCACGGTGGGGGTTTTCCTTCTAACCAGCACCGTTGTTCCCGTGACTCCTCTTCCCCCCTCACCTGACCTGGTGACGTGGTCACCAACCCACCGCCCTGCTCTGTGAGGAGCGCCCGGGAGCCGTCCTGTCTATGTCTCACACTGAGGCCCGGTGCTCAGACGGACGGCCAGTCCGAGCGAAACGCTGGCCTTGAGTCCCGCGTCCTTCCTCGGGTCACTTGGGTTACTCTGGGCCGTTTGTCTTTCCAGGTGAACTTTCAAATCAAGCTCCTCAGGTTCTTCAAAGACGGTTTCCTGGGATTTGACTTGGGTTTCGGCGAATCTGTAGGAGGGTTTTAACACCCAACAGTCCTGACTCTTCCAGCCGGGAATGTGGTCGCTCTGCTTCTCCTGGAGCCTCTTTGGTTTCTCTCCTCGGGAGTATTTCGTAGTTCCCAGTGGAGCGAGCCTGCGTATCCTTCACAGATGCAGTCCTACTTGGTGCTTTCTTGTGCTGTTGAAATGTGGTTGTAAATTTGAGTGACTGATTGCTTATTGTGAGGACATAGAAAAGGGTGATCATGTTGTGTCTATAAAATGTATAAAGGTCATGTCTTACCCCAAGCACAGCGCCAGCTCTCGACTTAAACATTATGAACGTCGCAGAGCGTTTTATCCCCGGCGATTCACCAGCCGGTCTTCGTGGGACGGGGAGCTGAAAAGTCAGGACTCTGGTCCATGGTATTTTATTTTTTTATTGACTTTTTTTTGAGAGAGAGAGAGAGAGAGAGAGAGAGAGAGAGAGAGAGGAAGGGAGAGGGATAGAGAAATAGAAATGTCTATCAGAGAGAAACAGCATCAAGCCCAAAACCCAAGCATGTGCCCTGACCAGGAATCAAACTGATGACTTCTTGGTTCATGGGTTGACCCTCAACCACTGAGCCACACTGGCCAGGCGAACTCTGGTCCAGCGGTCACCAACTGGTGGTCCGTGAGGTCCGAAAGGTTGGCGACAGCTGCCCTGGTCCGTGGTAAATGCAAATGACGACGAGGTTTTCAGGTTTTCCTCGATCACTCTGCTTTGAACATTTGCATCATTTTGTAAACAAAAACATACTTAAGTATTTTTAAATGAGGTCAGGAGTCGCCCCTCCTAATTTTCTCTTGCATGGAGGTTACTGAACAAGTAACGCAACGAGACCGCTTTATAGAGCCATAGATTCATCTCACCTTCACACACACCGGCCAGTGGCATGAACCAGTTCACAGAACTCTGCATTCTTGGTTTCCAAAGAGGGTGCCCGTGTTGTGCACCTTGCCCGATGCTGCAACAAAACCGAGTTGGGAGTAGCAGCCGTGTCCGTGTTTCAGTAACCCTCGCTCGTCGGGCTCCGTCTCTCCGTGTAAACGTGCCACACACTGCATTTCTCCCCGGCTCGACGTCCCCGCTGCCCACGCGGAAGCGTGCGCTTACGGGCCTGTTTCATTAAACCGCGCTGTCACCGGGTAATTGTTTTAAACAGCGCCACGGCACAGTCCACAGGAAAGGTGAGCCCGTGGCATTTGCAAATGTCAGGGATTATCTTAACACTTTTATTACAGTTTATGAAAACGCAGGTCCAGGCCATTCTGTGGCAATTATTTCTACAGAAATTGGTTCTTTAAATAAATTGCTGATTATCTGAAGATGACAGTATTGAAAATGCTGCTAATGAGTGGATTAATCAGTGTAGCGTGTGGTGGCCACCTACAGGTGGGAAGCAGGAAGAACATAGAGACTAATTAGCTCCAGCTCGCACATATGAATGCCATGTGTTTCCCCATCCAGTGACACGCTTACAGACATGTATTCCTTCATGCCAGCCTCTGAGTCCAGGACACTGTAGTTCATTTCTGCGTTTTTCATAAGATTGTGGTTTTGTTCTAAATCGAATTTCACTCTGCATTCGTGATTACCTTTGTCCTATAACTCCTGGGTGCCATTGTCATTATAATTTATCAGCCAAACCGGGACACTTTCAGAGTGAAAGAGAATGCCATTTATAATTATATCGTGTGATTATGAATAAATACAGGTATAATGAACTGGGACTTTCTCTCTCTAGGTCATATAGTTACAGCAATTACTAGCTACCATCACTTTAATAGAATTCCTTGCCACTAATTAATACCAGAACACGAATATTCTTGGTTTTGTCATACATGGACAACATATATTTATTAGTTATAAAGATTAACTCCCGCCGAAACCGGTTTGGCTCAGTGGATAAAATAGGGAAGAAGTATGGCGTTGTGGTTAAGAGCATGGCATTGCAGAAATGAATCAACACTTTTTTACCTAGAAGAGTCGAACAACAGGAAATCTAGTTATCAGATAGAAAGTTCATCTTCATCCTATCCCCAGAGACAATAATAGTTTAACACTCGACCTTCTCTCTATTTGTGCGCCCACAGAGAATGTACACGTACTTCTTCTAGCCACAGTGGGGCCGCATCACGTAGATTGTTCTTTCACATCTATCCCGGAGATACGGGCAGGCCCGACGTCATACACGGACGAACTAGGATTTATTTGATAGCAAAACTATTGGGGATCGTGCAGGTGGCTCTCACAGTTTTGCTGTAAAAAACAACACTTCACGGAACATCTTTGCACGTGGCACTCCGTGTCTGTGCAAATGGAACAGATTTCTCAAAGCGGCGTCTCGGGGTGAAAGGGCTGTACCTGTAGATCCCGCGGTGGCACTCTAAACCGCATTACCCGCACAGACCGCCCTTATAACCACAGGCAAACTATGTGTTTTTAGAAATTAAATGGCATGGGAATGGCAAGTTCCCCGAATTTAAAGTCTAGGAGGTTAGCACCCTTGGGTGACACGTGTTTCTCCCCACACGTGTCTACGGCTGGATGCTCTTCCGATCCTTTTCTCCGGCTTTGAGAGCAGCAGCAGCCGGCGGAGTGAATGACCAGGCGCCGTGCCAAGGGCTGTCCACAGATTGTGCCCTTTAATTGTCCGAGCTGCTCTGTATTGTCGCAATGTCCCCTTTTCACAGGGAGGGAGGAGGGTGTCTTAGGAACGAAGGAGCTGGCTCAGTCACACTCGTGTGAGTGACAGAGAGCCGGGACTCACACCGAAGGGGCGGGACTCTGCATCCTGAGCTCTTAGCGAGGCCCCGGGCGGCCGATACCAGGTTCCTGGGGCGTGACAGCCCCCACGCACAGCGTCCTGCGGGTGGAATGACTGACACAGGCACAGGCAGCCCCCATCCCGGCATCGGGCCCTCCATGGCCCAGGGCTCCGGGCCTTCCACTCCCAGCAGCAGGAAAAAGGCTTGAGATAGTCGGCAAACATGAAAACATTTTCACAGAACGTTGCAGCGTTTCCAGTAACCCTGCAAGGACAGCGACATCCAGCTGCTCTGCTCCCTCCGCTTTCGTTTTCATGTCTCTGCGTAGAAGCCGGGGTCCCCTTAGAGCTCCGGTTTGGGGTGAATTATGCTATTTTTCTAGAGGGCTTTAGTCCCTGTGTAAAGATGTATTTTTAAACCGCTGAGTCTCACATACGTATCATTCTAGTAGGTTCATTACCACGTTAAGCGCGAGTTAGTAAAGTATACCATTGTTAGTACTTGATTTATCTGTATCGTATCAAAATCAAACTCGCAACTCCCCAATCCTTGAAATTCTTTGATTTGCTAATATTCCTTCTGGATGATGCTACAACTCTTAACAATTAGACTGTCAAAGTTCAGTTTCTAACCAATTTGTTATCCACTTCATTCATTATATCCTAATTAATGTAAGCAAATTAAACCGCATTTTCTCTGTGTACACACAGCGAGCGTGTGGGCGTTATGACCCAGTTTCCGCTTTCCTGCTACCTGGAGCCATTGACTGTGGATTTGCGTTGATGACAGTTGTGTAGCAGTGGCTGTCCCAGACATCACATGATGGGGGGCGGGGAGGGGAACAGAATTACACGCAATGACTAACCCTCCAGTGACCCAACATCAGCATGTGTGCTACACTCTGGCCCACTGACTGTTTCTCTCCTCATCAAGGCCTAGGCATGCGAAGTGCAGCTCTGCTTCCCTTTCCCCCGTGAACTGGAGCTCTCATGTTGTCATGAACACCCGTGTCTGCCGGTTTACTGCATGGACCTTTGGATTCTCAAAGCTTTTTTTTATGTATTCTTTTATTTATTTTATTATTGATACTATTACAGATGTATCCCACCCCCCTTTAGCCACCTCTACCAGATTCTCAAATTTAAAAATATATATATATTGATGTTTGGCCTGCCAGCGTGGCTCAGGGGTTGAGCATCAACCTATGAACCAGGAGGTCACAGTTGGATTCCGGGTCAGGACACAGGCCCGGGTTGCAGGCTCCATCCCCAGTGTGGGGCGTGCAGGAGGCAGCCGGTCCATGATTCTCTGTCATCGTTGATGTTTCTGTCTCTCCCTCTCCCTTCCTCTCTGAAATCAATAAAAATTAAAAAAAATTAAAACATAAAAAAGACCCAGTGCCTGAATGTGCCATGCACATTCTTCTACACATCACGGTAGTAAATCCAGTTGCAATGTGCATCTATTTTGTGCGAGGTTGCTATACCCACTTGTGCCCCACGTCTTCACGCCATCGTAGTATCAACGTCCCTGAAATAAACACGCCTCCTTTACAGACAGACGGACATACTTGGGAACATAGCGATGTGTGCCCGTTTTTTGTGTATAGCTCTTACATAGAGACAGGAACTCGGGCTCTGTCCAGCACAGGACGGCATAGCCAGTGGTCATCACGCTAACCATTGGCCTCTCTCTCCTGCAGGCACGGCCATCAGGCCCATCGCCCTGAGAGCTGTGACCTCTATCGCTCGAGCTCTGCCCGGATTTCCCATCTTGGCCACGGGTGGGATCGACTCTGCCGAAAGCGGCCTTCAGTTCCTCCACAGCGGAGCTTCTGTCCTGCAGGTATCACTTACCACCGTCCCTTCCCACATCCTTCAGTGTTACCATGGGCTTCGTATATTTGAAGTTTCCCCCCAAAGGCTCAGATCCGAATCGCTGTTGGTGCCATTCTGAGTATTTCTCTTACAAGAAAAAGAAATTTCAGACCCGAAAAATAGTTCACAGTCGGCTCCTCCTGCGTGCCTACCTCCCTGAGCGTTTCCAATCACGACACTCAATTTCGTGCCCACAATTCTGCTGGCGATGTGCTGTCCCAGTTCCTGATCCGGCTTCCCAATTACAGTTCTGAAACGATCTGAGTTCTTAGCTTATGGTGATAATGGAGTTCTGGGGCGTGGCCACTCGTGTTTCTGGAGGGCCTCTCTCTCCGCCTTGCGCTTACGACCCTCCGATCCTTCTTCTGGCGTACACAAGCGGGACTGACAGATCGTTCCAGGCCGTCTGAAGACCGGTTCTTCTGACATGCGCTGCGTCTTTCTGCTTTGGAGCAGTGAGTTCTTTTTGCCATGACAGCAAGCCAGACCTTAGAGCCTTGTGACCCGGTGCTCACCCCCGTGTGTGCCTAGTTGTGGGGTGACGGCCTCATGCTCGGTGGTCACCCCACAACTGAGTCACAGCAAATGGGGCCCCCGAGGTGACCTCCTTCTGAGGAAACCCAGTCCTCACGTTGGTCGTGCTGCTTCTGTGTGTGTGTGTGTGCGTGTGCATGTGTGTGCGCGTGTGCGCATGTGTGTGTGTGTGCGTGCGTGTGTGTGTGTGCGTGCATGTGTGTGTGCGTGTGTGTGTGTGTGTTTCGTGGCATCAGAGTTATAGTTCAGGTTTGGAGACAAAGACGTGAGTTGTTACAGATTCTAATTACAAGTTAAAAGTCATCTCACTGTAGGAAATTAAAAATGGGGACAATTAGAGAAACATTCCAGTTGAAAGAAAAATGCATTCTGGGAAAAAGCAAAAGCCCCCCAGATAGGAAAGCAAGCTCCCTTCTCAGCAGCCCGGTGAGGCCGGGGCGGGTCGGTGGCGCACAGCTACTGCGTTGCCAGGAGAGCATTAATTCGCAATTACGGAATGATCGGCTCCTCCACGGCCGACCATTGACACACTGACCTTTTGCTGAGAAATTCTGTGGTCGTTATGTTTTTTAAAATATATTTTTATTGATTTCAGAGAGGAAGGGAGAGGGAGAGAGAGATAGAAACATCAGTGATGAGAGAGAATCATGGATCAGCTGCCTCCTGCACGCCCCCCACTGGGGATGGAGCCCACAACCCGGGCCTGTGCCCTGACTGGTATTTGAACTGTGACCTCCTGGTTCCTAGGTCGATGCTCAACCACTGAGCCACACCGGCCGGGCTCCATGGTCATTATTTTAAGTGGAGCAACATAGAGGCAAAAGGAAAGCGTAGGTCCCGTTCAGGCACAGGCATCACTCCCCACACACAGGGGGCGCCTTTGCACTGCGCCCCCCAGATAGTCACGTGATGGAGCAGACTGAGCCCGCGCAGCGGCGTGGGTGTGATGAGCCTGTTGGTGGCAGGATGATGCTGGGGGAACGACAAATGCCCCCAGTGAAGCATAAAATGAAGCAGACCTTTCCCAAACCTGCTACCGCCAGGGAAGACATGAGAGACTGGCTCACATGAGTGTGTAAAACATGCACGCGGTGTCACCCAGGGGTACGGTTTCATGTCCCAAAGCCACACGTTGCTTTTTAAAATATATTTCTATTGATTTCAGAGAGGGAGGGAGAGGTAGAAGGAGAGAGAGAGAGAGAGAGAGAGAGATCAATGATGAGAGAGAATCACTGATCGGCTGCCTCCTGCATGTCCCCGACCTGGGACCGAGTCTGCAACCTGGGTTTCTATGTTTTTAAATAAGATAAATAAAAGTCTCCTAAACATTTCCCTCCTAAGGCAACGCCATCCTGAATGTATTCGCCTTTAAAAACATGCTTATCCATGTGTTTCCCTAACTGGTCTTCTTCAGCTATTCAGGAAATAGTGCCTTTCTGTTGCGTTTAGTAGTCGGGCCTCCCATCCATTTAATGATTTTGTGGCTCCTGGATCCTTCGAAGCTTTCAGACCCCATTCCCGGAGCTTGAGGCATGCGGAGTCCCAGTGAAGCCCTCCCACCCCACCCCCTGTTCACTGACCCCGCCCACAAAACCAGGAGAGAAAGACAACAGTTGCAGTTGGCCTCATTGGCTGAATCTGACAGCTCTGAACCAAGCACCTAAACTCGTCGTGGAGTTAAAATTCGGGGCGTGCAAACAGAAGCCTTCATTATCCCCAAATCAGTTATGCTGTGTTTGTAAGACAAAGGCAGGTAATCTGCCTGAGATCAGAATGTGTCAGACCTGCTCCCGGTAGCTGGCCCCAACCCACAGCGACAGACCCGTCGGCTGTTAGCACAGTTAGCGCGTTTCCTGGTGGGGAACGCGATGGGGTTCCGGCTGTCATGCTTTAAGGGCAGGAGCCGTATCTCATTATCGTCTCCCCCACTCAGTCAGCGCAGCCGGGATATTAACTCCATCCTCATGCCACCCGGCGCCGTCACGTGCAGGCGGGGAGAGCAACATCCCGTGACCCCACAGTGACGCCGCTGAAATCTCCCCACTGGGAGCTCGCGTGGCCGGACCCCCAGGCCTCAAGCCGCCCTGGTCCTGCAGAGGGGAGCTGAGAACAGCGGTGCACATTCATAGGCCGATGCTTCCGAAACACTCGCAGTGAACACGAGCAGTCGAGAGAGACTTTAGAAAGCAAGGCCGCTGCAGTGCACGGTAGAGCGTGACATGAGAGGTCATTTCCCGCGGACCAGTGTCAGCATAGAAGCCATCGCTTCGTTTACAGCGTGACATTTCATAGACAAGACTGGAGAGGAAAAACACATGCAATCCACTTACCTGCATCGACCGGATTTAGCTTTTCTTTAACTCATAGTCTAAGTCATCGTTTATTCGAAGCCCATGGCCCGTAGATTGGTGGGGAGGAGGTGGGATAATCGGGTTTGAGTTCCTTCTCGCAGGCCGAGCGATTGAAACGATCCCTTCTCGGCCGGCACATCCCGGCTCCTGTGCGCACCGGTGTGTGATGAGCTAATTGTTCACAACGTCAGAGCCGGCGTTTTATCCCAGGGCTCCGCGTGGTTCCACATGGAGACGCACAGTGCGGAGCTGGGGAAGTTCTCGCCTGTGAGCGAGCCCCGGGCTCACCTGCGGGCACCGGCAGCCCTTCCTGGCTCCTCTCCCCCTGCCCCCACCAGCTCTCTGAGGAGGCTCCCTCCGGCAGATGTGGAAACAGACAGGTCCCCGGGCTGTGCAGGCGGCTTGTCTGAGAGAAGGAGGGGGTGACCCAGAGGCCTGGCTCAGAAAGGAGGGTCTGGATGAGAGAATAGATGGACGCATGGGTCGCTTTTGAGAAATAAAGCCTTTTTTGAAGAGATGAGGCTTTAAAATTGCCTATTGAGCCCGGCCAGCGTGGCTCAGTGGTTGAGCATCAACCTATGATCCAAGGGGTCACAGTTCGATTCCCAGTCGGGGCTCAGGCCCAGGTTGTGGCCTCGATCCCCACTGGGGGGCGTGCAGGAGGCCGCTGATGGATGATGATTCTCATCACTGATGTTTCTCTCTCTCCCTCTCCCTTCCTCGCTGAAATGAATGAAAATATATATAAGTTTAAAAAGAGCACACGGAGGGGGTGGAGACCTCCGTTCTTCCCCGCCTGGGACCCCCGGGCTCATCCGCAGTTGGGAGGCACTGAGCCTCGTTCCCAAGCGGTTCCGTCAGCGTCGCTTGGCTGAGCTCCCGCATCCCATCCCCGAGCCCTGTCTGTGCAGTAAGAGAACCGTGGCTTTTGTATCTTATCCCTGAACATCATCGGGCCCCTGGGTGCTGGGAGGACACTCTGACCACCAAGCATACGGGCCAGAGCCAAGGTCCTTCCCCTGTTGTGCCAATGTGCCTCCTTGGAAATTCTGCCCGTTGGGTCTCATTTGGAGCAGCCCCCGCGGTGTCCCTGCGCCCGGCACACGGCACAGACCCCAGGTGTGCAGTCTGGTGTGTCACGTTGGCTGATATTCCTCGGTCGTGCAAGTTCTGGTGCCGTGGCCGCCCCTCCCCGCCCCGCCCACCTGCGGGCGGGACCCGGCCGCCAGCCTGGAGCCCGCCGGGCGCACAGGTGAACCTGGTGGAGGAGATGAGAGCGGGTGCGGGGCCAGCTCGGGTCTGACGCGCCCGTGTCCCCCCAGGTGTGCAGCGCGGTCCAGAACCAGGACTTCACGGTGATCGAGGACTACTGCACCGGCCTGCGCGCCCTGCTCTACCTGCAGGCCATCGAGGAGCTGCAGGACTGGGACGGGCAGAGCCCAGCCACCCCGCGCCACCAGAAGGGGAAGCCGGTCCCTCGCATCGCTGAACTCGTGGGAAAGGTAGGTGCCCGCCTCTCCCGGTGGCCCCCGGCCTGTGCCCGCTCACGGCCCCGTCAGGTCTCGGTTCCCTGGCACCGTCTTGGGCACAGAAAACCCAGTGCCCCATGGGGTGTGGTTTCCACAGGAGAATCGTGCCGAAGAGGCCTGGTTTCAGCGACGCCATGGTTCCCAGACGTACTTTTGTTGTTAATCCTCACCCAAGGGTATTTTTTTCACTAATTTCTAGAAAGAGAGTGGAAGGGAGGGAGGAGGGGGAGAGAGACAGACACATGGATTGGGAAACCTGTAACCCAGGTTCGTGCCTTTGACCGGGAAATGAGCCGGTCGCTGGCGCTCTAACCACTGAGCAACCAGCCAGGCCCCAGCTTATATTTTATAAAACTAATACAACAAAGTCCTATAAAAGAGAAAGCCAGGAGTGTGTGAGTGTGTGTGCGTGTGAGTGTGTGCACGTGTGAGAGTGTGTGTGCGCGTGAGTGTGTGCGCGTGAGTGTGTGATTGTGTGTGCGTGTGAGTGTGTGTGAGTGTGTGCACGTGTGAGAGTGTGTGTGTGCGCGTGAGTGTGTGAGTGTGTGTGTGTGCACGTGTGAGAGTGTGTGTGCGCGCGCGTGTGAGTATGTGTGCACGTGTGTGTGTGCGTGTGAGTGTGAGTGTGTGCATGTGTGAGAGTGTGTGTGTGTGCGTGAGTGTGTGTGTGTGTGTGTGTGAGTGTATGTGTGTGTGTGTGCACGCACGTGAGTGTGTGTGCGCGTGTGAGTGTGTGTGTGTGTGTGTGTGAGTGTGTGTGTGTGTGTGTGTGTGTGTGTGTGATGCCTCCGAATCTGCGCTGACTGTGGCGATGGCTGCCGTCTCCCCCTGGGGGATGGAGGTCTCTTTATTCTTCATGAGCTCTGGCAAGAATCCCCTCCCCTCTCTGTTTGCAAGATAATCAAATCACTGGGGCCAGGGAGGCCGTGAGGAAGTTTTTAAAATTAAAATCACATCAGTGTCTTTGCAGCTGCCTCTGCCGTGTGGTCAGACCTCGCTCCAAAGGTTGTGGCCCCACTTCCTCCCTCACTGCTGCTTTCCGAGAAACTACCCTTTGCTTACATTTTGCATAATACGGTGGTTTTAGCAGGTCTGGTCTAAAACCACATGCCGCTTCCGCCTCTGTCCCCTTTGTGTTCCCCTGAATAGACAACCATCGTCAAAGACACTTCTCCAGCCCAACGAGGGGGGGGAAATGATCATTCGTCGTCTTTTCAGCTTGTCACCACATCAATAATTAACTTTTGGGGGGGGGAAGAAGCAAGTATAAAAAGATTCTTTAAGGAAGCATTTAATAATTCAAATGGATCTTAACTTGAAACAGGTCACATGAAAAAGAATGAGAAATATCAGCCCGCAGCTCCGCCCGGGAGGCAGGGCCGGGGACACCAAGAAGAGAGAGACCTCCCTGCACCGGCTTCCGGGAAGGGCACCGCGTGCTGTCCTCGCAGGCGGCGGGGGAGCGGCTTCTTAGAGCAGGACCGGCCGGCTGCCAGGAGGGCGATGAGCACCCAGAGGGAGAGAGAAGGCACATGTCTGTGGGCTCGGGGAACAGGGCTGGGGGGCCCGTGCATGGCAGCCACGCAGAGGCTGCGGACGTGAATATTTATAATATGGTAATTAGCGAGACTGAGCCCACACAGCCCAGCGGTGTCACTCGTCGCAGGATCACACACTGAGGTGCAGACGTGGACGGCCTGTTCTTGCCTTATCAGTGGCCGTCCACACCCGGAGGCTGTTCTCACTAAGAAAAACGCCTAAGTAGCGTCACGCCCGCTCGGGGGATCTCTCACGCACTGTTTCCGCCGTGGTGCTGTGGATGGGTGAGGGCCGTCTGTGCAGGCGCGGTCTGGAGTTCAGTGGACGTGTGGGGGGGGGTGCTCTGTGCCGCTGGTCTCAGGAGGACTGGCACCCTCGTGTCCGAGCCCGCGTGTTCGCGTGTGCAGCAGCAGGTGGAGGTGATGGAGACACTCGGGTCGGCGGCGGGGGTGGAACTGGATGTTCCGTCCCTGGGATCTCAACGCAGACTTTGTTTGTAAGCCGAGCCTCCATCGGAATAGTTCAGTGTCGTTTTTGGCATGATCACATGTTTAACGTGTTTAAAGGTGGCGCCTGTGTGATTAGATTCGCGGTTCGTTTCTCAGCCCTGGGAGGAGGCGCAGGCAGATGGTCGGTGATAGGTCTGTGCTCCTGGCTTCCCTGTGTGGCTGACAGGCCTGTGGCCCTGGGTGACGGGCCCCTTTGGTGCACGTTCCTGACAGTGAATCCAGGCCCCCCTGGGCCCAGGTGCAGGGGTGTATGTGTGTGGACTGGCAGAGCCGTGGGGTCCATTTGCAGTGCCTGCACGGGCCTGCACTAGCAGAGTGTGGGGTCCATTAGCAATGTCTGCACAGGCCTGCACTAGCAGAGTGTGGGGTCCATTAGCAATGCCTGCACAGGCCTGAATTTGCAGAGGTGTGGGGTCCATTAGCAATGCCTGCACAGGCCTGCACTAGCAGAGGTGTGGGGTCCATTAGCAATGCCTGCACAGGCCTGAACTAGCAGAGGTGTGGGATCCATTAGCAATGCCTGAACTAGCAGAGCTGTGGGGTCCATTAGCAATGCCTGCACTAGCAGAGCCATGGGGTCCATTAGCCTTGCCTGCACAGACCTGCACTAGCAGAGTGTGGGGTCCATTAGCAATGCCTGCACAGACCTGCACTAGCAGAGGTGTGGGGTCTATTAGCAATGCCTGCACTAGCAGAGGTGTGGGGTCCATTAGCAATGCCTGCACAGACCTGAACTAGCAGAGGTGTGGGGTCCATTAGCAATGCCTGAACTAGCAGAGCTGTGGGGTCCATTAGCAATGCCTGCACTAGCAGAGCCATGGGGTCCATTAGCCTTGCCTGCACAGACCTGCACTAGCAGAGTGTGGGGTCCATTAGCAATGCCTGCACAGACCTGCACTAGCAGAGGTGTGGGGTCTATTAGCAATGCCTGCACTAGCAGAGGTGTGGGGTCTATTAGCAATGCCTGCACAGACCTGCACTAGCAGAGCTGTGGGGTCCATTAGCAATGCCTGCACAGACCTGCACTAGCAGAGTGTGGGGTCCATTAGCAATGCCTGCACAGACCTGCACTAGCAGAGTGTGGGGTCCATTAGCAATGCCTGCACGGACCTGCACTAGCAGAGTGTGGGGTCCATTAGCAATGCCTGCACGGGCCTGAACTAGCAGAGCTGTGGGGTCCATTAGCAATGCCTGCACGGGCCTGGCCACAGGAGCACAGGTTGCAGTGTGACTTGCCACTTCCCGAGTGGGTTCGTCTGCTCTGGGACCTGGGCAGCTGCTGACCCTGTAACCTGCAGCTGCCTCGTTGACACGCTGTAAACCATGCGCATTGGCCCTGTTCTGCCAGCATCCCATCTGCTTTTCAAAACGATGACTCCTCATTCCTCCTCGCTCATGACATTGACATCTAATTGACAAGTGCAAATGGCATTATTTCTGTTGTCATCTTCACAAAGGTGAGTGGGGAGGCGTAATTCCTTGCACTTCGTCAAATATACTGCTTTAATCAAAATGCACCTTATTCATATTAATTCTGTACTTAGAACTTGTACAAAGTGCTTTTCTTCTTACGCATAACTTACCCACATTAATCCTGCTGTTACTTTTAAGCTGGAAAAAGAGAAAAACAGGATTTTTTTCTTGTTCTGGGTGGGGATTGAGGATCTATAAAGAAACCATTGCCGTGGCGTGTCAGATAAGATTTGAATTCCAATCCCGTCCTCGAACTCATCCGCTGCCCTCCCTCCGAAGAACTCTGTAAACCAGCCACGCTTGCTGCCAGCCAGCCAGCTCTGCTCCTAATCCCGATTTTATGGAGAAAGGCAAAACCTCTCTTGGTAATTCTGAGCTATGCCCTGAGATTCTCCCTGGAAAGATATGTATTTGTTATATTTCTGCCTGAGCCCATCTGCCCACTTGAATAAAAGGAGCATTAGGTAAAAAGATAATAATTTTCTGGTAAGTCAAGGAGTCAAAAGAGTCATTTGATCCTGTAAAGCGTCAGCACAAACTCTAATCCTATTCAGCTCTTTGCCAGTTTGTTCTCATCTAAGATCTGAGAAAAAATTAAATGTCCGCTATTTGAAATTTAAAAAGGGGATCTGTTTTACCAAAAGAAAAGAGAGAAAAATCAAACAAACCGTAATGAGGTGTTGCTGTTACTGGCTTTCACATGACATGGACCGTGACTGCTATTGAACAGTTTACCAAGATGCTGGCATCTTAGGAAGACGGGGCCGAGAGGGCCTCAGCTGTGGGCTAGCGGGCCGCGCCACAGGTACCCACGCAGCTCGCTGTCCGCGCGGGATGGCACTCCTGTCCTCCTCCTCAGAAACCGGATGCTGTCTGGTTGCCCATAGCGACCTGACCACCCTCCTCGTTTCCAACTCTCCCCTCTCGTCTATGCTGTGGAGATGCTGGGACGCAGGTGTGTTAGCCCTCAGAGCCGCCGCCTGAGCTAGTGTGTGCCCACGGTCCCAGGCGGCCCCAGCCATGTGTCCGAGGAGCTGTGACTGCCCCCCGCCTGCACAGAGAACCTGGGTCACGGCCCCGGGCCTGTTGGAGACGCTGCCCGCAGCCCTCACCATCCCCCCCGATCCTCACACCCCGTCCGCTCTGACCTGCATGGCGCCCAGCTAACCCGTCCAGACGGTGCCTTGTGACACGTCGTGGCCAGACCTCCTTACAGCACTTTGCTCGTCTTCCCTCTCTATCGACGTTACCCCATTTCGTCTCAAACTATAGAACCTTCTAGATCCTCTGCGGGCAGTTTTCTCTGCATGTGCCCAGCCCAGCTGAGCTCCCCGATGTCCCCCATCATTTCGGGGCCATCAGCAGGTCCTCCTTCAGAACATCAAGGTTCCCGAGTCCTTCTTCCGGTGGCGCCGTAAGCACGAGGCATCTTCCTCTCACAGCTCAGGTGCT